TGGGTTTGATTCTGGCCCATGGCCCTTTCCCGCAGGTCTCTCTGTCTCTGCCCCCTTACCTGTAAAGCTACTGTCATTAAAGGCTACTACAGCCAAAAAAAAAGAATATATCTGCAGTATTTTTAGGATATTTTTTCATCTGCTCATAATTAAACTGGAGGAGTGGAAAGGAAATCCAAATCCAGAGAAGGAGCTGAAACTGGTCGCCAAAACTACAAGTATTTTATTTTTTTTAATGAAAATGCGTTTTTTTTACCAAAAGGTTTTGATGCAATTTGTTTTTTTCTACTTTTATAAAATCTTTTGCAATAAAAATCCAAAGAAATGTAAAGAAAAACCATTCCTTTGTGTACATTGACGCCTTTATCAGAGTTTTTATGCGAGGAGACTGGATATTACACTGGCTGGTAGTGAGGGCTTCACAGACTCCTGGGTCAGCAACTCTCTCGTGTTTTTCAGCTTAATGGGAGAAACATTGGGCTGGAAAGCGTTGGACATGGACTCGTGGCTTTTCTTACTTCAGAGGCAGATTTCTATGTGGAAAGTCACAGAAGTGGCTGATTCAGTCAAGAAAAAGAGGCGCTGGGGTGGCTAGTGACTTAACCTCCTTTTTTCTCTTAGATCAGAACTCTTTCAGATTTTAAGCTCTCAGAGTTCCTCTGTTCGTATTCTAAAACCTCCACTTTCCGTCTCTTTGCACCTTTGAACTGTAATTCTTTGTATTCAGAGATATATCTGACCTCTTTTTTGTTCAGAAGCTGCCACTTGGCTGCAGACTGGAGGAGAAAAAGGACATTTCCCACCTGTGAGGTATTCTTTGTTCCGGCTCTCTGCTTAAAAATGTCATTTCACAGATTAAAACCTGCATCTCTGCCTGTTAAGTGGGCTTCAGATCTAAATGGGATCATGTTGTTATACTTTGTGACAGCCCCCTGTTTCTGTCGGATCTGCTGCCGCTGTTGAACACTTCAGATCTGTTTTTCAGAGGCATTTAATCACCACCAACTTTTTTCACTCTAATGATTCATTATTAAAAAATAATCATTTTCTCTCCATAATAACTGAGCTTCTCAAAAAAAGGTCAATGTTAGACAGCCACTTCATTTTAAACGATTCTCGTTTGATGAGATATGATCACTTTTTTAAATAAAAACAAATACTATACCAGCACGTCAGCTTGATATGAAAAAGAAAATCTCACCTCAGGTGCACAAAAATTCCAATTTCAGGCACATTTTCAGCTAACCCTCTAGGTGGCAGTGCCACTTTTGATGGGAGATGAGCATAGACTGTAGGCAAATAAGAAAAAGTTAACGGTTCGCTATGAGAGAACATGTCGCCGGTGAGACGCAAGTCCAGGAAGAACGGAATAAGGTAGAAACACATTTTTTTTCCTGATGAAAGAAGAGAGTCTACTCTTTCTTTTGGTGTGTTCGGTGTTTACATAGTCATAGCACAAACTATTCTGTGGCTCTTGAAAAATCAGTCAAAATGCTCAAAGAAGCAAAGTCAAGAAGCAAAACCTCATTTAGCCTTGGTGTAGCTAGCCTAATGATGACATTTGCTTACTACATTCTGTTATTGTTGGTGAATAGTGGTTTTAAGGCTCTCGCATTGAAACGTGTTCAGTTCAGGGTGGAAAAAAGAGACGTATTAGCCAAACCATGACTTATTTTCCCGTGCACTCAGTGTAGGCTACAAAAAAATCATCATTAGCCACTAGCGCTAGCATGAAGTTTATGGGTAGCAGCCAGTGGCGGACTGTGCATTTCACACCTAGGCCTTCAGTAGTGCTCCGTCTGAATCAATTCACCCCTCAATAACTATTTTATGGTTATAGAAATCCTCTTATTATGTAGAAATACAGTAGAGATGGCCCGATCCAGCTTTCTGTATTAAAGTTCAAAGTTATTTATCTACTTACTTAGTTGTCAGACTCCGGTTGAACTGGGATTTACTCTTATAACAACTTAAAGTTTAAACAGACCTGTGGGTTAGCAGATGCTAATGCTAATGCTCGTGTGGGATCAGACTTTTAAAAAAAATGGATCTGGAGTTTGGATCTGCATTTTCTCATGCCGGCCGATACGAACCAAATATCGGATCGGGACAAGCCTAATATACAGTTTAAAGATCAGGTGTGCACAAGTCTTCTACTCCTGCAGCTACAGTTGCGACCCCCCCCCCCAGAAAACATCAATAATATCCTCATAAACTCACAATATTATTTAGGAAAAAAGCAACATTTTACTCACTTACTTTTCTTGAAAGGTCCATCTTGAAAATGGCCCTGACAGTAAATCCGCCACCAAATCATAAAATAGCTATTACACCAACACAACTATATTTCGGTTTGTTTGCTAGCTTTGCTGATTGGATATCTGACTATCCAATCAGCAGCTGTGAATATGGTGACGTTGCCTGAGGCCTGCTAGATGGCCCCGGCCTCACCAACCTAAAATCTGATTGGCGAAAGTAACAGTGTACTCGACATGTATTTTCCCTGCAGAACGGATTGTGAATGCCTCCAGGGCGACATCTTTGACTTTGATCCAGTCTAGCGACAAAAGATGTCTGAAATGTGATTGGTTAAATGCTTTTATATGAAAATGCATGTCTGGAAGCAACGCAACCAGGGGAAAGCTATGAAAGGAAGCCGACAGACCATTTGGAGATATTTAATAAGTTTCCATGGACAAAATATGATTAACATCAGTCTGTGATTCAGATATTTTCTTAGGCCTGCAGAGAAGGCCTTGCAGGCCCTGACGGCCCACCACTGGTAGCAGCACCTGTGTTTACTATACAAACTAACTTTACCATGGAACATTAACCAACATATTTTTATTGGGGATATGTTATTTTATCATATTCATCAAGGGGTTGGTTGGTTTATCCTATCATCATTGCATAGTTTTGGGCTCTGAAAAATGTCCGGCTTACCGCAGGTTCTAATACTGCAGCAGCCGCACGAACATGTTCACTGCTCGGTTTGCCGTCGCCTCCACCACCACCACCATATTTTACATCAGACACCGGAGCAGATGAAGGGCCTGCTGTTGGGAACATGTCAGTCAGTTTGACACATTTCAGCGTCCGTTTGTAGAACTCGTTCCTTTTTTTCGCACAGTTTCTCTGCGCCCCCCTTCAGGAAAAGGCCTTTGAGGTGTGGCGGATAAATACAACAAAATAATATGATATGACCTGCATGAAAACTGTGGGATTTTCTAAATATAATAATAAACACGAATCCACTCTACCTGTTTGCTTCTGGTGAATGGCTTTTTAGCCTTAGCAATACGATTTGCCACCAAGTATGATGCTCTCAGTGCATTTGCATTTGTTGATGTGGTGGCCCTCAGTAATTGTTTCTGTCCTTCTTGTTCACGCTTTTTCCTTTCAAAATACTCCAAAGGCTTGTCTTTTAATGCAGGGTGCTTGGTCTCGAAGTGGCGAAGCAGTTTTGAGGGCTTCATTGCATCATTCGAGAGCATAATATGCAGAGTAGTGATGTGTCCCTCCGTATTGAGGCTTCGAAGCGCGTGTCAAGAAATCCAGGATGATTTCTGTGAAGCGCGTATCGAGGCTTGTGTCAATGCCTCGCGAACCAGCCATACCTCGTGAGTGATTCAGGAAGTGGTTCGCGGTTTGGCGGTCTATTTGAAATATGAGGGCCAGCAAAATGCAATGAATCCCCCCTCAAATTTTGTGGACTTGGGACTTAATTAAGAGTTTGTTAGCGATCTATTCAAGCCTCCCTGTCATTGTATCATAAAGACAGACACCATATAAAAGTTTATAGTTTATGTTTCACAAAGGATCACTAACATCCATCCGTCCATTATTGTAACCGCTTATTCCCTACTGGGGTTGCGGGGGGACTGGAGCCTATCCCAGTATTCAATGGGGAGAGGCGGGGTCACCCTGGATGGCAGCATCACAAACATTTTTGATTAATTCACTCAAAGCTTCAGACACCAAAGCCAGAGTCTCATTATAACCACGCTGTACGGTTTACATTTATTGTCCACTTGATGGCACAATAGAGCAAATGAAGCACCATGAAGCTTCAACACACGAATGAACCAATTAGATGGAATGCTTCAATGCTTTATGAAGCTTCATCTCGCCATCACTAATGCAGAGTGGGCTTGGTGCGTGGGAATCTCCCATTGGGATAAATCCGTATTTTAAGTAGGACTCCTGATATTGTCTATCAAATGTAGCTTTCTTTTTCTTGGAAGTCGTAGGCTCCTCTTCTGTCTCCTGGATGGGCCAAGAAACTTTCCAAAGATGTTTGTTTTTTACTCATTTTGCTAGCTCCTGGGTTTAATTTTAACGGTAACCTATCACGTGACCGAGAAGAGCGGCTTCACCTGCGTCAAGAGTGACAAAGACAGATGAAACAGATAATCTGGTCATTTTTCAAATTCAGATTTTGAAATCAATAAAACAGAAGTAATGCAAGTTATTTATTCTTTCTGTGCGACCCGGCACCAATCGACCCACGGACCGTACCGGTCCGCGGCTCTACAGGACTTGTTCTTCTCAGTCTGATTTTAAATGATGACAAGGTCACTCTGAGCAGAAACTCAAAGTCAGTAAGCATTTTTTTAAATGGAGCTAAACCTCTCCCCTTCCTGGAATGTCTGATGATACTGATCTACTTCCTGTTCTAAAAGGCAGTGGATCCAGTCTGTCCACATATTTCTTTGATCCCTCCCCTTTACCATGTAACAAACATTCAATTCAGAAAGCCATGATTGGTTAAATGAACCCGACGTCACATCGTGTTATCACTCATTAGTGACCCGACAGACTGCATTCACTGCATTCAGAGAGTTTTCAGCCTCATTTAAGAGAAACTCACAGCGTCGCTGTTACCGAGAGCAGAAATGGCTCAGAAAGGAGTTCCGCTGGACACAGAAACCTTCCGCTGCTCCATCTGCCTGGAGGTTCTGAAGGATCCGGTGACTATTCCCTGTGGACACAGCTACTGCATGAGCTGCATTGAAGCCCACTTCGATGGAGAGGATCAGAAGGGAGTTCACACCTGCCCTCAATGCAGGGAAAGCTTCACACGGAGGCCTGTCCTGGTAAGAAACACCATGTTAGCAGCTTTAGCGGAGCAGCTGAAGAAGACTGGACTCCATGCTGCTCCTGCTGATCACTGCTATGCTGGACCTGAAGATGTGGCTTGTGATGTCTGCTCTGGGAGAAAACTGAGAGCCATCAAGTCCTGTTTGGTCTGTGTGGCCTCTTACTGTGAGGAACACCTTCAGCCTCATTATGAATCACCTCCACTAAAGAAGCACAAGCTGGTGGAGCCCTCCGAGAAGCTCCAGGAGAACATCTGCTCTGTCCATGATGAGGTGAAGAAGCTGTTCTGCCGCACTGATCAGAAGTCCATCTGTTATCTCTGCTCTGTGGACGAGCATAAAGGCCACCTCACTGTGTCAGCGGCAGCAGAAAGGACTGAGAGGCAGAGAGAGCTGGAGGGGAGGCGGCAACAAATTCAGCAGAGAATCCAGGACGCACAGCAAGATGTGAAGCTGCTCCAGCAGGAGGTGGAGGCCATCGATCAGTCTGCTGACAAAACAGTGAAGGACAGTGAAAAGATGTTCAATGAGCTGATCCGTCTCATCCAGAAAAGACATTCTGATGTGAAGCAGCAGGTCAGATCCCAGCGGCGAACTGCAGTGAGGGGAGTCAAAGAGCTTCAGCAGAAGCTGCAGCAGGAGATCACTGAGCTGCAGAGGAAAGACGATGAGCTGCAGCAGCTCTCACATACAGAGGACCACATCCAGTTTCTGACCAGCTGCACCTCACTGCCAGCACTCAAGGAGTCCACACACTCATCCAGCATCAGGGTGCATCCTCTGAGCTGCTTTGAGGATGTGACAGCAGCTGTGTCAGAGCTCACAGACAAACTGCAGCACATCCTGACACAGGACTGGACTAAAGTCTCACTGGCAGCCGCTCAGCCGGATGTTTTACTGCCACCAGAACCAAAGAGCACAGCTGACTTCTTAAGATGTTCATGTGACATCACGCTCGATCCAAACACAGCAAACAGAGAGCTCTTACTGTCAGAGGGGAACAGGAAGGTAACATTTGTGGATCAACATCAGCCTTATCCTGATCATCCAGACAGATTCACGTACTGGTTTCAGGTCCTGAGCAGAGAGTGTCTGATTGGACGTTGTTACTGGGAGGTGGAGTGGATAGGGAGAGGAATTGATGTAGCAGTCGCATGCAAGAATATCAGCAGAGCAGGAGATGGGGAAGAATGTTTATTTGGATCTAATGACCAATCTTGGTCATTAGTTTGTAATAAAAACAGTTTTATATTTAGGTCCAACAGCATAGTAACCTCCATCTCAGCTCCTCCTTCCTCCAGAGTAGGAGTGTACCTGGATCCCAGAGCAGGTATTCTGTCCTTCTACAGCGTCTCTGAAACCAGGACTCTCCTCCACAGAGTCCAGACCACCTTCACTCAGCCTCTCTATGCTGGACTCTGTGTTTATCCTGGATCCTCAGCAGAGTTGTGTAGTTTTTAGGATGCAAAGTTAAGTTGTTTAAAGATGTGACAGAGCTGTCTCTTTAGATTAATGGGCTGCCAAACTTAACAATCAGAGTTTTGTTTCATCTGGCCTCCTTCATAACAAAGTTTTCCATCTGTATTTCCTGACATTTCTTCGTCAACCAGAGGCTACAGTTTACTGATATATTCCACCGTCCAGCTCCTGTCATTCAGCAGATTTTACACTCTGTTTTCAGGCCCATGAAGAACTGATCAGGACACTTATCAGATTTATTTTATCTTTAATTACAGAAATTATACTTCAGATACTTCAGACAAATAGGAAAAAATGCAGAGTCACATAGTCTCAAAAACAGAGTCTCAGCATTTTTTCAACTGAAGTGGCAATTTAATTTTAAACTGTTATTTTAATTTCCTGCATTGTTTTAATAAGACAAAATGATAAATCTCTTAATTTTTATTTGATTTTTTTAGGGATTGTGAGTTTAATAAACACAGAATATAAAGTTATTCTTTATGTTTAAAATGGAAACTTTGTTTTAACTGGATTAACTCTCAATATGTACAAGGGAGACATTGTTTCTTGTTCAAGGTAACACATGCTGAAGTTTTGTTTTTTAAAATTCACATTGGAATGGATTCATTCATAAAATTCTTCTCACTTTCGATTTATTTTTATGTTTAACTGCACAGTCCAGCTGAATATTTGGTGTGTTTAAAAAAAGAAAAAAAAGTTCGCTGTAAATGATGAAATCAACAATCAATAAAGTTTATCAAAACAAAATGCTCTGAAGTCATTAAAAAAAATAATCAACTTTAAGGTATTCACTTAATTTTAACTCTCCTTTATTTGGTTTAAATAAATAAATACATCTCAAAATTATGTGCTGTGATAGACATATACTGTAGATATGCATAACTATTATACTTCCTATATTGGGGAGCAAAGTATTCTGGGTATTGCAGTTCTCCAGCTCAGATTCTGCCAACAGGAGTGAACAAGTTGGCCTTTGTGCGTGTGTATCTAATCAGAGGAGCCAACTGCCAATCTGAGACTTTTCATCAAAACTTTACCCCGAACTCCTGCCCGCCATTCAAAAACGATAAGAGATATCTGAAAAATTCTCATTAATGGAGGCGCGGAACATGGCCCACTCAGACTCAATGTCCCCCGCCTCCCCCGGAACGTGCTCGAAGCTCTCCCGGAGGTGGTAGTTAAAGCTCCGCCTAACAGGGGACTCCGCCAGGTGCTCCCAGCAGACCCTCACAATACGTTTGGGCCTCCCGGGTCTCACCGGCATCCTCCCCCACCATCGGAGCCAACTCACCACCAGGTAGTGGTCAGTGGAAAGCTCCGCCCCCCTCTTGACCCGAGTGTCCAAAACACACGCGGCCGCAGATCAGCTGAAACGACAACAAAGTCGATCATTGAACTGCGGCCTAGAGTGTCCTGGTGCCAGGTGCACATATGAACACTCTTATGCTTGAACATGCTGTTCGTTATGGACAATCCGTGCCGAGCACAGAAGTGCAAAAACAAAACACCGCTCGGGTTCTAGCTGGGGGGGCCATTCCTCCCAACCACGCCCCTCCAGGTCTCACTGTCATTGCCCACGTGAGCGTTAAGTCCCCCTGCAAAACAAGGGAGTCCCCAGAGGGGGCAAACTCCAGTACCCCTCTAAGGACTCCAAAAAGGGTGGGTACTCTGTACTGTCGCTAGGCGCATATGCACTAACGACAGTCAGGACCCGTCCCCCCACCCGAAGGCGAAGGGATGCTACCCTCTCGCTCACCGGGGTAAACCCCAACGTACAGGCACCGAGATGGGGGGCAATGAGTATGCCCACTCCTGCTTGGCGCCTCTCACCGGGGGCAACTCCAGAGTAGAGGATGACACGGGAGTGGATTTTCACTCCTGTCCCGTCCCACTCCCATAGAAAGAAATCTTGTCCCGTCCCACTCCCAGACCAAAGTTTAAAAAATAATCCCATCCCGCTCCTGGTAAATTGACTCCCGCTCCCATCCCGCTCCCGTGTTAACTGACTCCCGCTCCAGTACCGCTCCCGTATATTTTTTATATATATATTTTTATCTTAAATTAGTGTTTAGTTAATACATAGGATTTTATTTAATCTGCTCTCCAGTCTCCATCCTGTTTTAGACCAGTTGCTTTGCCCCTGTTTCTAGATTTTCTCCAGAAAATGGAATACAGCAAATAAAAGAAAAACTGTAGGTCACACCATGTCTACAATGTTTAATAAACCCAAACAGCACATAAAGCTGCATTTTACTAATTTATTGTTGAGTAAACAAAACATTTATAGTTTACATTTTTTTAATTACATTTGAACAATTTTCATCAATTATGCTGATTCTTATCTATATGTTGCTGTGTAGGAATAAAATTGCGTCCACATTTTCTGGACTGAGCATAGAGCGCCTCTCCTCTATCAGTCTTCCTGCAACACTGAAGCTACGCTCTGAAGGAGTACTTGTTGCGGGGATAGCTAGCAGCCTCTTGGCAACTGGTACGAGCCCACCTGACATCTCCCGCCAAAAGTCAAGAAGACACTGGAAACGTGTCAACTTAGTGTCACTCATGTACTGCAGCACCAACTGGAGACCATGTGACTCCGTATCACCACTGTCCTCCTTCCTTTCCTCCTCTTCCACACAACTTGCAAAGAAGTTATGCACCTCCGTAGCGCCTTGCTCTGGGGGTGGATCTTCAGGAAAAAAGACAGATTCTTATAGAACATTATCATTTACAATCTAGTTCTTCTTAGTCTAACATACTCAATTGTCTAACACACCTATATTAAACATTACCTATAAGGTAATCCTCACACCTGTCCTGTATGCGTGTGTCACTCTAAATAAATTAAAAGAAATTGTCATTTGCTCTGCAACTGCTGTTGATGCTAGTGTTATTCACCCTCTTTCTCCACAAGGCCTCTCACTCTCTTCTCTGTCTCTGCCGTTTCTGTGAATGCTGTCAGGGTGCTGATGACCTCCTCATACTCCTGACCGTTGAGAGTTTTCCTTAAGAAACTCCTCAGGCTTGGAGAGAGAGCTGTGGCTACCTTATGGTACAGGTGGACTTTGAATTTCATCTCCACTGCCTGGGCTAACTTCCCTTTCAGCTAGGGGAGGAGGAGCATGACAATACATGCAACATCATTGCACTGTACTTGTGATTGCTACTTGAATGACCACCAACTTAATGAAAATCAGAAATGTATTGTATTACCTCTTTTACAATCACACTGTCTCCATCCTGGATCGACAAACCCCTCAGTAGAGTTTCCTTGGTCGGGAGGACAAGGTGAAGGGTAGGTGTCTGATCAGTGGAGAGATGCCTGGTAGCCTCATCGAAAGGTTTCAGGAGTTGGATGATGTCTTCAAGAAGTTCACAGTCTATGTTGTTGAGGTAACGGAGCTCGTTCCGGCGAAGCAGGATGTCATGCAGCCTCCCAGATCTCAGAGCATCATTAACAGATTGGAGCATTGCTAGTCTGGTATTCCACCTTGTCTCCACAGATTGCTTCAGTGACTGGTCCAGTGCTTTTTGCAACCTAAAATATAAAGAGATTGCACAAGAAAAATGGATGTTACGGTGACACAAATTCAAATTCATTGGCCTCTCTTTTGAGAAAACATCTATTAAAAAAAAAAGAGAGATTTATTTAAAATTGAGTAAAAAAACAAAGACCTGTGCAGGTATAAATGACAGTAGCTTCTTTTTATTTATTTCACTTTAATTTCTTTCAAATTATATAAGCAGTTTTACCAGGAAGAAATAAAATGTATGCTATTTTACCCTGCTCTTTTGAAGTGTGTGACAAGGGTCTTTGTGTCCTTAAACAGCTTGATGATGTTGCTGTGCACTGGGTTGTTCTCGTCCAAGTGGTCAAATACATATTTCAAGATTAAGTTGATATTATGGCCAGCACAGGAGAGTCGGACATAATCCTTGAATGCTGCAACCACATTTGAGCCATTATCCGTTACAAAAGCGGTGTCGTTGCTCAGGATGCCAAATTCCTGTGTGAGGTAAAAAAAAAAAAAAGATTAAAAAAGACTAACACAAAAGCTTTGCAAAAAGAAGCCCAGATATAAGAGCATCAAAACAGAATGACTAACGGTCCTGTAACTGAACTTCAATAAATGTTTATAACTATATTAGGACAAAACATAGTGTTTACACATATGCTTAATGCATATCAGCGCAGGAGGACACTAAGATATGAAAATATGAAAACAATTTTTAAAAGTTTGAAATTTTTATGAAACGTTTTCCTAAATCTGTCAAAAAAGTAAAACTGCCTCCGACACAGAGAGCAGCAAATGCAGCTGTCTGCAACAAACTGATGTGCAATGCAGTAAGGGACAGTGACACTGTCATGGTTGGGGTTACGCGCTTGACCCACATGCAGAAACACAAG